ACCACTAGAAGGTGAACACTCAAAGTGGGAGCTACAGGTCACAGCCGACGGACATAATACAGAGTATATAGCTTTTGACATTTCCTCCGTTCTCTTTCTTCAGTGGTTCTGTGATCTTTCTCTCTGAAGTATGCGTAGAAGGAAGACTTCCTCACAGGATGTGAGGAGGAAGCATGTTTTACAATCTTCTGGGCCCTTTTCCTTACTGTAACATGTAGTTATGTCTTGCTAGTTTAAAAACAGAAAATGATTAATCTCCGCAGTGCTGGGTAGTTGCTAAGAGAACCCAAGTTTCAAATCCAAAGACCTTGTCTGAGAGTAATTAAGCTGTGAATTTGAGTGTCTGTGGTTATAAAGGAATCAGACATAACCTTCTGTTCTTTTGTGAAACCTGTTAGGAAAGAGTGAGATTTTAAAATCAATCAGTGCAGTTTTACTAGGGCACTTTAACTTAAAATTGGTATAACTTTTTATTTTGTATTTGATGTTTGTTCATACTGGGTTAACATATGCAATGTCCAGGTGCTATTTCTTTTTTTCCCTTTTTACTGTTTATGAAAAATTTCCACTTGCTGTTGAGTTATCCTTTCCACAGGTTTTTTATCTGAAGTCTTCCCACTCACCACTTACTTGGCTCCTTAAGGTGTTGATAAAGTGTACACTCTAGCCTTTCTTTGACCTACGTGTATGAAATTCTGCTAATTTCACTGTCAGAATAAGGTAATAGAAGGACCTGGTGCTTTCGCAAGTAATGGCTAACCTGGCAGATGTCTTATGTAGATAGATAAAGAATAGTTTAAGAAATTTGTGTGACTTAAAGATTGAAAATAAAAAAATAATTAAAGTAAAAGGATAGTAATTATGACTACTACTACTACTACTAATTTGTTTGAAATATATGCTGAGTCAATTCAACTACATCAGTTTAAGTGCTATACAAAATTTACCTGGCAAAAATGTTCCGTTATTGGCTTTGTAGAATTGTCATTGAGCATTCTTAAGCTGGCATGCCGATGTGTTGGTTTATTTGGTTCATTTTTTTGGTAAAACGGTTGTACTGCTTAAACTAATCATTCTGTCAGGCTAATCCTGATGGTTATTGGAGTATAATATAGCAACTGTTTACACATTTAAGAAAAAAAAAAAATTTCTGTTATGTTAATTGCCACTGACGTATTAATATGACCCCAATTTTCATCCTTGCTGGTCAAGGACAAAACAAACTCAGGTCTTCAAAGCTGCAATTCAGTGAAACGCTCAAGCATGTTCTTAATTTAACCATACATACTGGGCTGGGACTACTTGCTAGAAGTACACAGATGCTTAAATATTCTGCTGAATGTAGTAACACTTAATTTTAAGGAAATAAGGAGTTTTTTGCTGACTGAAGACCTGACAGATAAATCATTCACCCACCCCGATTCAAGCATGTGGTGCTGTTGCATACACCACAGCTATCCTGAGAACCTCTAGACAGACAAGGATGAGTCTCTGAACATAAGTATTAGCCATGTGACTCATGGTGACGAGAGAAAGTCAAACTGCATGTGCAGTATGAAAAATCTCCGATTATGACAGGCTGCATTAGAATAAACTCAAAATAATCCAAATTTCAGCTGTTATCTTCTTGTTGACACTTTGCCCTCCCCACCCCCCCCTTTATTATTCGTCATTGTCATACAGACAGTCATATCTAATATTAGCACTGTGAGGAAAGAGTCAGATCTTTGCTCCCTGTTCTGAAAAGACCTTAGAATATAATAAATATGTGCTATAAAAATACTTAATGTTATTTTTATGGCTTTAAAATAAAAAGAAAAACAACCCCAAAACCAAAAAACCCCACTCCTCCTCAAGCTCCTCCAATAGCTCTCTTAAACTCTTCTTTTTTAGCTCATGGCAATGTGAGTCGTACATATGGGGGGATTAAAACTAGGGGATCTACCCTATTAAACTCACTGCCTTTAACTTTGTGCAGGTTATCTGATAATTTATTTTAAAAACCCCAACAATAAGACCACAGTGGCCAAGCGTCATGTGCTGCCAACTATCCAAATGGCGTAATTAGTCTCTCTTCTAACATGTATTACTCTTTCAATACCATGAAAACAAAGTGCAGGGCAGCTGGGCACCAGTTAATGCTTCCACTTTCATGTTGATGATTCCCAACAGTGAGAAATCTCTTCTAATAAATCAGATTGTTCAGAATCAACTTTGCCAAGAGATTAGTCTTAAGGATAAAATAAAAGGTTGAATAGTTAAAAGACAATTCACTTTACATCAGAGTTATTGAGTTATACCATTTCACTTTAAAATAAAACTTGTCTTTGTGTGTTACCTATTCTTTAATTCTGTTCTACCTTTTCCCCTTCCGTGCCACCCCAAGCTAGACTGCCCTAGTCTGTCTGTGCCTTGCAAAGGAAACTTCCTTCCTCACTTCCTGTGACTGAGTACTTGAAATCAGATGGTACTGGAGAAGCAGGAAAGGCTCCTGCCTTCCTTCTTCCCTTTGTTTCTTTCTTCTTTGCTAATTTATTTCATAATCATATCAAATGTATTCTCTAATTATCAAACATTTTCTTCTGGTTGCTTACATCTTTTCCAGTCTCCTGAAGGCATATTGGTTATACTAAACCAAAAACTGTGTGAAATATTAAATGGGTTATCTACTTCCTAGATTTACGGCAAATATGAAGTCTAAACAATTACATTACTATGACACTAGTAATTTGAAGTATGCCCCTCACCTACAGTACTTTCTTTTGTTTGCATTCACAATTTCAAAGGTTTTGTTCTGTCAATTCTGTCAAGCACTCTTCTTTCAGAGTGGTTTGTCTAAGGTGCAGGCTATGTGCTTGAAAAGAGACTAACTAGGCTAACCTTCAAAGCGTGTATTGAGATAAAACCAGAACAGATGTGAAGATCAGATAACTTGAATCATGTTAATTTCTAGCTTTATCAGAAATAGGATTATTTTATGTACTATTCTACAAACAAAATCTCTTTTCCCAATCTCTTTTCCCAAATGCTTGCAGTTTGCATAAGGAAATCTAGGTTCAGAGCAAAAGAAAAGGTCACCCACACAACTACTGCAAAAAAGAATGGCTGCCCTGATGATATTGATTCTACTTGGTTTTTGATTTTTGCATATTGACACTTTTTTATTTATTTTTGAGAGCCGAACCTTTTGAGGATCAGCCAGTCCAGCAAAGGTGGTTAGCATGTGTTCAGCTTTGACCTAAGTGGGAACATTTATCTGCTTGTTTTACAGAGAGCTAAGTGGTGTTCTGAAGTATTGGCTGAATTCAGAGCCTGTGCTCATTCTTTTTGTGAATTTACCTTTTAGTTTCACTAGTGAGAAAATCAGATACTCTGTCAAAGTCTGTCTTTGTTTTAAAAAAGAATAAGCAAAGTTTTCTGTCTTTGTCATGCTATTTCAGAGCTTGGCTTATAAAACAAGGCTGGAGATTGAGGTTAGGCGCTACAATATTTTCTGCTGTTTAGTGTGACCTAATAAAAGTGCATTTTCTTATAAACATGGCTTCCCCTTTTTGCTGCTTTTCCCTGTAGATAACGTATTTTGTACGGTTGAGGCTGTTTTTATATGAGGCTGACTCAATTTTTTTTTTTTTCTTACATGTGAAATGTTTTGTATCAGATATAGAACAGTCTGTATCCTACCAGAGGAACTGAAAATTAAAACGGTCTTTCATGCTGAGATTGAGGTAGTGTTTCTGTTCTACCTCTTTACTTCAGTCCTGGAGCAGAGCCTGTGGATTCAAATTTTTCCAGCATTATACCTTTCTGTCAAGTAGAGCTAAAAAATAATAATTCTATCTATTTGAGACAGCGTGTAGTCAGCTGTCACCATATCAACAAGTTTATACTTCGGTTGCTTATTTTGATTGGATCCCAGTTATGTAGCATTAGAGAGCAGATGTTCCTGGTGTAATCTGATAGTAATTTTTACTCTATTTTCTAATTTCTAGTCAAGGATAGATGATTTGATGAGACCAAGGCCTCTGTCAAACCTCCACCCTACTCTACCTCAAGCTGATCCCTTGACCTGAAAGAAAGAACAAACAGTTCTGCAGTAAAATTGTTTCGTTGTGTGCTGTACCTTAGTTGTATTTAGATTAATACAGAGCACCAATAAGATCACTTTGGATGGTCTTTTTTACCCTTGATAAACTTTGTCTATGGTTGGAAAATAATTTTATAGCACACATATTTTAAGAGAAAATTGAAATAGAAGCTTGTTGGCAGTAAAAAATTATGGTATGGTGAAAATATTTGTAACAAGAATTGAGATGTAAAGGGTAGTAAATGAGGAAGTAGAGCAAGAAGAAAAGATACCAGTAACAAAGCTGGTACTTTACTGGTACCAAATTTTGTAATTTAAGAATTTGTCACAAGAAAAAGTTTTTGCATATATGAGTAGTTATCTAATTGGAATTAGATACTGATTTATCCCTGAGATGCAATTAATTAATGGGTCTTGCTTCTATTTTATGTTGTTGTTTGTTTCTTAACTGTCCCAGATCGTGGTAGATAATAAAAAATGTTCTGTACGTAGGCCTTTTTAATTCTGTAAACCTCTAAACATTTTGTGCAGTCTATTGGTTAGACATGAACACAGGCACATAGACCAGATGGCATCATATTTCTCAGACTAAGTGCAAGGAGATCAGGGGACTTGTTCATATTAATCCATCCTCTTTTGTCAATGCTTTAATTGTTTTAATTATTTTAATTATTTTACAGAAGTTGTAATTTGTGGTTTTAACAGTCCTTTTAAAGAACTTGTGAATAAATGTATTGTGAATAGATGTTTCGCTATCTGTATCAATACTTTTGTCATGGATTATGATGGTAACCCTGCCTTCTTCCTGAAATGTTAGGTGCTGTATTGGATAGTTAATGAAAAATAAGCAAGTACTATAGGCAGTTTTGTTATGTCTATGTATAACTGTGTCCTTACCTTCCTTCTGGTTTTGTAGGGCACAATGACTACATGTGTCCTGCTACCAACCAGTGCACCATTGACAAGAACAGAAGAAAGAGTTGCCAGGCTTGCCGACTAAGAAAATGCTATGAAGTGGGAATGATGAAAGGTGGTATGTACACAACAATCAACAAATCCTCAGTGTCTGCCTTCCCATGTTTTAAGTTAATTGGACAGCTGATGTGGTTCCTAAAGGAGGAAACAACTGATTTTATTGAGTTGAAGTTTATTAAATCAAAGAGCAATTCAATAAAAAGTAAAACCTCCCAAATAAATGTTATTATTCTTAGGAATAATAGGAACATTAACTTCAGTGGAGTTAGGATTTTTTTGTTAACATTTTTAATTCTTTTTTTTTTGGTCTTTCATGATCGGCTCCAGATAAGGACGAATGAAACTTAACCTGAGATTTTGTAGAATTTTGCAGTTCAGTGTTGAAAGCACTGGTGATCTCAGATCAGTCCATATTCATTAAAATAAACTTCTGAATATGTACTGTTTGTATTGTGAATTCTGGAAAGGAAAGTAAATTCTTCTATTCCAGTACTATACACATATTTTGTATGCAAATTAATTTCACCCAACCATATTAAAGGCTCGCTCATTTTATAAAAACTGAGATAAATGTCACTGTCTTGGAACATACTTATGTAATAATGATGTCAGAGAAGAAAAATCAAACACTGAATAGTGAAGCTGAAGGGAAATACCACTAAATTATTTCATTTATATACACAGTGTTTAGCTTTTGGAAACAAATTAGAAATATATGACAATACTAAACAATTGCTACTGTGTGTACTTAGATGTAAGATAGTTTTCATGAATAACGATACCTGCCTTTCTCCTCTGTGTTACAGTACCTTATGTTTGTCAAAAGCAGACAGGAGTTAACTATTTTTAATCCTTTTGAATAAGCCATGCTCCTAAGAATTAAGAATATTTAAGAACAAGAAATCATAGTTTCACATTTGCTCTAAAGCAGAAGAAAACCTCTTTGTTGCCTACTAAAAATTTCAGATTGTTTTTATTAGTGAAGAGTAATCACTGGCTTTAATGAAGCCTATATCTGTAGGAAAATTTAGCAAACTAGTAAGTGCTTAGAAGAGAACTCTGCTTTCATGAGACTCCATCTGGAGTACTGTGTCCAGGTCTGGAGTCCTAAGCAAAAGAAGATCATGGACCTGTTGGAATGGGTCCAGAAGAGGGCCACGAAGATGATCAGAGGGCTGGAGAACCTCTGCTGTGAGGACAGACTGAGAGAGTTGGGTTTGTTCAGCCTGGAGGAAAGAAGGCTCCAGGGAGACCTTACAGTGGCCTTCCAATGTCTAAAGGGGGCTACAGGAGACATGGGGAGGGATTCTTTATGAGGGAGTGTAGTAATAGGATGAGAGGTAACAGTTTTAAACTGAAAGAGGGAGATTTAGATTAGATACCAGAAATTAATTCTTTAGTGTGAGGGTGGTGAGACACTGGAACAGGTTGCCCAGAGAAGTTGTGGATGCCCCATCCCTGGAGGTGTTCAAGACCAGGCTGGATGGGGCTTTGAGCAACGTGGTCTTGTGGGAGGTGTCCCTGCCCATGGCAGGGGCATTGAAAGTAGAGGATCTTTTAAAGAAAAATATAAAAAATATAATATTCCGCTATTCTGTCCCCAAAATAAGGAAGAGAGACCATTTTTTAAAAGTATTTTTGGCAAAAATGTTCAACTTCCTATTCCACTTCACAGAATGGCTAGGTGCAGTAGCAACCGGCAGTTCAAAAATAGTCAATGTTGTGGGTTTTGGGTTTGGGGTGGGTGGGGCTTTTTTGTTTGTTTTTTTAATTAAGCTCACAATTTACAAACAAGGAGATCAGGTGCATAGTTTCTTCCTGCTCCTAAAAGACTGTTGATAAAGCACTGAAGTCTATCACTGGTTGATATGCAAGGGTTTAAGAACATTTATTTTATGAAATCTTGGAAAAATTTCTCAAGATCCCTCAGTTGCAGGTCATAAATCTGGCATGCCTGTGCATGAAGTATTCAAACCAGGTAAAGTTAATGTAGGATGAAGTAAAGCATTTAAGGTTCTGCTGGAATCATTACTGATCCCATATTATCCATTTATCTGTGGGAGAAAGAAAACTTTTTCTCTAGGTAGGGCTTGATAATTGTCACATTTCTCTCAGATGAAGTTAAAGATTAAGTGAATATTCTTGGTGTACCATCTGATTAACTTTTAAAGTGTTAACTTGTAATGTTTCAAAATATTTTTGGTTGTTTTTTTTTTGTTTTCTCTGAGGAGATCTCTTAAGCTTTTCTGTTTTAGTAGATCTCTTATAATAGTACTTTTCTTCCACATACTTGAGTGTAGTAAGTACACGTAGTGCTGTGATTAACCCAAGGTCCACATTTTTCTCTAATAATTCATAGTTCTCTTGATTGAATATTTTAATTTAAATAATCTCCTTTGGTTCATATTGAAGGCATTAATTACATCATACATTTGAAAAATATTCAATTGTGTCATATCCCACTTCTATATCTATCTCCACAATTTGCTTATGATGATATACCTCTTAGACGTAGTGGAAAACAGCTATAATTTATCTTTTCTCTAAATGTAACCTCAGTTTTCCTGCTGCACTAAATTAGTTGAGGTTTCTTAATAAATTGTCAAAGCTGCTAACTTGTGACTTTTTTCTATCATTTAACTTCTGAGCAATACCTGATATTACTTATAGAGTTTCAATAAATATGTAGAAAGGTAGATAAAATCTTGATTAAATGTCTCTGGTTAATTTAAAACATAGGTTATAAGCTATAGTTGCTGAGGTTTTTCTCATAGAAGGTTACTTGCTGCAGCATAAAAAAAGTTCATATATATTATTTTTAATAGAATTGACACAACTGAAATATGGTTTGGGGGCTTCATTCAGAAAAAAAGCAGGCTTCCAGTGGCTCTTGCGCTATGCTGTAGGAACATTTATTTGTGAGTTTCTGTGGAAATTTAATTTTTTTCATCCAACTGCTCCTTCATCTTTTAAAAACTTCTTTCAGTACTGAAGAGTTATTTTCTTTCTCTCCTCTTATGTTTGCAAGTGTTTCCTTCTGCATCTGTTACCATGCTGCTTTGAGAGACAATCTGCCAGAATCTCTGCTGATGTAGTCAGCATCTGAGGCAGAATTTACAGCTGTTATATTTTTTCCAAATGCTTCACCCTCTCTTTCTGAATAAGCCAAAAGGACCTTATTATATTCTTAAATTATATGTTATTATTTAGTCTGTGCGCCCTTGTTTTTATGTGTGGATAAAGTGCTTACAAGGAATAAGCTCCTTGTCATCTCCCTCTTTCTTCTTGTTGAGTAGCAGAGAAGAGTAGCTTTGGTTTTGCTTATGATCCACTGATGCTTTCTTGAAGATTGCTTCTGTTCTGCTTTGGAGAAGTATATTCCAGTTTACTATTTCACATGATGGGGTATCCCAGCTTCCAAATGGAGCTTTTACAGCGGTTGCAATCCTGAAGCTCCAACCATGTGTATGGTCCAGGTGATCTCTGATCCAATACAGACGTAGTTTTTCATTTCTTCATTGCTTTAATGGCTTTCTGACGACTTGGCTCCAAAAGACCTTATTCTCTCAAACTATAAGTATCTTATTTTTATTGTTATTTGTTAGTGAAGTATTTTTCTACTGTGCTAAATGAATGGGAATTTCCACTTACTAGCATTCTTCCCCTCCTTTCACATGACAAGGCAGATTTAATATCAAGTGCTCTGTGGGATCGGAGCAACAGACTGGTAGTGGAATCAGTGACTATGGCAAAAATTTGCAATAACATTAAATGTCAGATCCTTAATGAAAAATCAGTTATTTGCTAACTGATGAAAGATCAGTAGTTGTAGTCCATTTTTAGCCACCCCGAGACCTTCTGTCAACTGTTGAATGTTGATGACTTCCCAACCTCGTCATAGGAAATGGGGCAATGAAGGATTTGGGTACTAGAGTGCTAGATCCAGATGGTGATACAACCAGGGTCATTAACTGTCTTTAAGCAGTCTGAAATGTCATGTTGTAGAGAGAAGATTCTGAGTGTTGTTTCTTGTGAAGCCCACATCCTTCAGTGTTGCCCTATCTGTATCAGAGAAGCCTTCAGAGATTACTGTGATACAGCCCAGGGATTTAAAGTCTGTGCTTGCCCTAACAGTGTGTCATAACCACATGCCAGATGCCTGTAGAAATGTTCATTAACTTCTAGTAATTGGAGTCTAGAGACTGGAGGCTTTCAGTTTTTCTTTACATTCTCTTGAAGTAGTTGCCCACCTGTAACCACATGGGAATTTGGTCTGGTTCAGTCTGACGATGTTATTGAAGTTTAAGACAAATTTTTAAAGGGAAAGGAACATTTGGCAAATTTGCCATCCTCTTAGGGAAGAACCTTGCTGATATTTGTCTTTAAATGGAGAGAGCTATGCTTCCTTGCTGAATGCTGTATTTATTCATGCTAAAAGGCTAGAGAGTTATAAAAATCATTCTCAAAAGCAGAGGTAAGTCAATGTCTGAAGCAACCACTCGAAGGGCTCCAGACTTCCTAGTTTTCCATGTAATTATCTTTTAATGAAATACTATATTAAAAATAGAAATTGGTGAATGAAGGAAGACAGATCAACAATGTCAAACTCTTTTGGTTTGTCTGAGGAGAACCTTTATGATATTTATTAGACATACTGTTCTGTACTCAGCCAAAGAACTGTGTAGGTGGGGCCTGATAAATGTATGAGGAAATGTACATTTTTAAGATGTAGTTGATGGGCTGAAAGCATGTACTGAAGCAACACTTGAAGCAAAGTTTTGTGAATTTGGGACACCTGGAAAAGAAGATTAAATTGAAAGCAGACTTTTTAGTGAAATGTTTCTTTTTCACATTGTAGGCAGGTAAAGCAGATTGTTGTCATTGAATTGTCCCAAAATATAATATTCCGCTATTCTGTCCCCAAAATAAGGAAGAGAGACCATTGTTTTAAAGTATTTTTGGCAAAAGTGTTCAACTTCCTATTCCACTTCACAGAATGATCTGGCTAGGAGCAACTCTTGTCAGGTCTCTTGTCAGGACACCTGCTCAAAGCAAGTT